GAATGGGCAAAAATATTGGTCTCTTTTTGTTATTTGGTCAAGTAGATATCTTCCACAATTTCTGGCATAAATAAGTGAGTTTCTCCAGTGTTGCATTTGTTTGTTGAAACATCTCAATGAGTACTGATCATTTCCTGGAGACTTGTTTTTCACCAATTCCTTAAGTACAGCTTAGACTTCTTCCTTCAGTGCCATCATTTCTTGATCATATACTACCTCCTGAAATGGTTGGATATCGATCTTTTTTTTTTTTTTTGCTACAGTGACTCTTTGTATCCCTTCCATCTTCTTTTTATTCTTCCTGCATCATTCTAGTTTTTGCCCATTAAAAAAAAAAAACTGCCATCATGTTGATTCCGAGTCATAGTGATCCCCATTGGGTTTCCAAGGTGGTAAATCTTTATGGAAGTAGATTTCTTGGTCTTGCTTCCACAGAGTGGCTGGTGGTTCCCACCAGCCTTCTGGTTAACAGTCAGATGCCTTAGGCACTGTGCTAACAGAGCTCCCTTTGCCCATAGAATCCTTCAGTATTGCAACTTGAGGTTTGAATCTTTTCTTCTGTTTTTTCAGCTTGAGAAATGTCAAGCACGTTCTTCCCCTTTGATTTTCCAACTCCATGTCTTTGCACATTGTGTTATAACACTTTACTTTATCTTCTCAGTCTGCTTTTTGAAATCTTCTGTTTAGCTCTTGTATTTCATCACTGCTTCCATTCCCTTTAGCTATACTCCTTTCAAGAACAAATTTCTACTCTCTTTTGAAATCCGTTGTGATCTTCTCTTCCTTTCCTGTCTTTTAAATGACCTTTTGCTTTCTTCATGTACAATGTCCTTAATGTCGTCAAGCAACTCATCTGGTCTTCAGTCATTGATGTTCAGTGAGTCGTATTTATTCTTCAGATGGTCTCTAAATTCATGTGGGATATACTGTAGGTTGTAGTTTGGATATCATGGGCTTCTTTTAATTTTCCTCAGCTTCTATTTAAATTTATAAATGTGCAGTTGATGGTCTATTCCACAGTTAGCCCTTGGCCTTGTTCTGACTGATGATATTGAAATTCTCCATTGTCTTTTTCCACAAAATGTAGTCAATGTGATTCTTGTGTATTCCCTCTGGTGAAGTCCAAGTGTATGGTTCCCATTTATGTTGTCAAAAAATGGTATTTGTAATGAATAAGTCATTGGTCTTACAAAATTCTGTCAGGCAATCTCATTTCTATCACCAAAGCTGTGTTTTCCAGCTATCAGTGCTGCTTCTTTGTTTCCAAATTTTGCATGCCAATCACCAGTAATTATCAATACATCTTGATTGCATGTTTGGTCAGTTTCAGACTGCAGAAATTGGTGAAAGTATTCAGAAGGATAAATATAAAGAAACATTAAATTACAAATGCTGAACACTAAAAGCAAAGACATAATCATAAATCAGCCAAAAGGGGAAAATAAAGAGCCAACTTTCTTTCAAAGAAGCAACGAGAAAAATTACATCTGACTTCCAAAATAATGGATTTTCAAAGACAATAAAATGATAGTTTAAATGTGCTGCATGAAAATAATTCCTAACTCTGAATTCTACATGTAGAAAATACATTATTGAAATGAAAGTGAATTTACAAAGTTTTTAGATAAATAAAATATGAGTATCAGGTCTTCACTAAAAGAAATACCATGTAGTTTTGGAAAAGAAAAACAAACACCTAATGGGAAACAATGAAATGCAGTGGAGGAAGAAGTACACCAGAAATGGAAATGTGTGGGTCAATAGCAATTGATATTGGGTGTATTATAAACAAAAATTGTACTGTGTTGTGGAATTTGAGCCAAATGTAAAACCAAATTATATGATACCATAATAAAGAATTGGAGGGATAAATAGCTAACCAGAATGTTTAATATTCTGGTTGGTTTAGGAGTTTTAAAATTAATAATTAACATTAGGCTTTAAAAAATTAAAGATGTATCTTATAGTTACTGAGTAAACAACTAAAACAATAGTGAAAGAATACACAAATAAACAATAAAAGAAAAAAAATGAGTGAATAAACACAAGAACAGAGGAGGAAGGAACATATTAGAGATGGTCCAAATAGAAAATACAATGAAACCTCTGAGAGCTGAGTATTGACGGGGCTGTCTTGTTTTAACGGGTCTCCTAAGTTTCCTGCCTTCAACAGGGTGCTTACCACTTTTCTATAGCCCTCTATCAAGAATCCTACCTCATAAACACCCAGTGAGTTTTCCTTCTCTGATAGATTTTTGCATTACACAGGTTTTGGCTTTCACAGGTTTTACTGTAGTAAGATTGTGTGTGTGCATGTGTGTGTGTGCAATCAGTTTGCCACACCGGCTTCCATGTTTTTATGATGCTGGAGGCTATGCCACTGGTATTTCAAATACTGTCAGGTCATATTGGTGGTCAAGTTTCAGTAGAGCTTCCTGAAACTGACAGATTAGAAAGAAAGGCATGGCTGTCAACTTTGGAAAAATAGCCAGTAAAAACCTTCGGATCACAATAGAACATTATCTTATCACTAGCTTTGGACATATCAGGAGGGATCAATTGCAAGAAAAAGACTTTACATCTGTTGAAGTAAAAAGTCAATGAGGGTGAGGGAAGATGCTTAGTGAGACTGACATTATAGCCACAATGATAAACTGAAATGCTGGCAATCATGAGGATAGTGCATGACTGGATAACATTTTCTTCTTTTGTTCTTAAGGTCACCAAGATTTGCAGTCAACTCAATAGCATTTATTTATCTCCATATAAGTAATTATTTTAATCTACATATATTAAATAGAAGACTAAGATTCTCAGATTACATTTACAAAAGCAAAATGATATGTTCTTTACATAAATCATTCCTTAGTTATAAGAACCCAGACAGGTAGAAAGTAAATAGTGGGAAAAGATATGCTAGGTAAACACTTACCAAAAGAATCAGAAACATCTCAGTTGCCTAAAAATTAAACAAGTTATATCTAAATACATATAGGTAAAAAATGGAAATTATAAAATACTTATAATTAATAATGAAGACAACTATTACTCATAGGATGTAACTCATGCAAGGACTAGAAGGAAGTTTACAGATGTAGATTCATATATTAGAAATAAAACTGAAAAATAAGAATTTAACCTTTCTTCTTAAGAAGCTAGGAAGAAAATTAAGATATAAAATCTAAGAGAAGCAGAAGGAAAGAAATAATAAGGAACACAAATAAGTAAATTGAAACAAATATACAAAAGGGAACTTAACAAGGCCAAAATTGCCTCTTCCTGAAGATTAATAAAGTTTTACATTTAGCAAGGCTCATTACAAATAAAGGTAGAAAAGTTACTAACTGCCAACATCAGTGTGTTAGGCTGGATTCTCTAAAGAAAAACTTGTAAAGAGAGAGAGAGAAATTTATCTTAGGAAAATGGCTTACACACTTATAAACGAAAACCAAACTAAATGCACTGCAGTCAAGTCGGACCCAACTCATAGCGACCCCTCCTTGGATTTCCAAGGTGATATCACTATGGAAGTATATTACCCAACCTTCCTTCCAAGGAGTGGCTGGTGGGTTTGAACCACCGGCCTTCTGGCTAGCAGTCAGATGCCTTAGGCACTATATCACCAGAGCTCCTCACTTATAGTAGCTGGCAAGTCCCAAGTTCTTGGATCAAATATCAAGCTGGATGCTTTTCCCAACTCACACAGCTCCAGGTGCTGACGAGCTCTAAATTGGCCAATAGAGTATCAGCTGTTGACTCCAACAAATGACAAAGCCAAGATCACCAGGCCAAATGGTGAATTGTTCACTCACGGACAGTTGTAGGCAGCACAACAGGATCCCTATCCACAGAAGAGTGTCTCTTTTTCCCAGGATGTTCATAAATATATTGGAAGCAGGCCACACCCATAGGGAAACTGCCTTTCACTGGATTGGCTGCTCAAACATATACATCTGATCCCATCATGGGAATAACCCACATAACAACTGCTTCAACCACACAGAATTGTGGTCCAGCCAAGTTGACACACAACTCCAACTATCACAATCAGAAAAGAAAATGGGATACTACCAAAGATACTTTAGACATCAAAAAGGCAAAAAGAGTCTTCATGAACAAATTTATATCACTAAATAAGAGTATTTGCATGAAATGGACAAATTTTAAGAAAAGAATCAACTTTCCAAAATTGACTAAAAATGACATAGAAAATATCAAGTGTCTGATATCTACTAAAGTAATTTAATGTATTATTTATAAAGCTTCTCACAATGAAAACCCCAGGTTCAGATGGTTTCATTGGTGAATTCTTTCAAATATTTAAGAAATAACACCAACTTTCCATGAACTCTTCTGAAGAATAGAAAAAGGGAATATTTAGCTTACTCTTTCTAAGAACATGGCTTAATCTTAACACAAAACCCAGCAAGTACCTTACAGAAAGCAAAATTAGAGACACCTTTGTTTCATGAATATAAATGCAAAAATTCCTAACAAAATAGCCAAAAATTGAATCCAACTATATTTTTAAAATATGAATAAGTAAGTTTTATTCCAGATATGCAAGGGAGTTTTAACTTGCTTCTTTCTCTGTAATATGTCACTAAACTCTTTAAATATTCATAAACCTAATGTCACTTGAGGGCAAGCATCTATTTGAAAACGTGTTTTAATTAAACCAAACTAAACAAAACTCACTGTCGTGGAGTTGGATCCGACTCATAGCGACCCCTACCTGGGTTTCCAAGGCAGTATCTTAAGGAAGTAGATTGTTCTCAAACCATAATATTAAAAGTAAAGGTGTTTTCTTTTATAAATTCAAATAGAAGCTAAAAGTGAATTTTACTTTAGTTTCATAAATGAAGAAAATAAGCAGTGACATTATTAAGTAAATACAAAACTATAGAATTAATATTGCACTGTTCTTTATCCCACCTTTCCCAAAGTTGGCATTTTTGGTTAAAGTATATAGATCTCTCTAAAAAATATTGGTCCTGTAGGTGTTCCTTGATGATCTCCCTAAGGATTTTGATGCTGCTTTACATGAATATAACATGAATGTGATGAAGGACTATACCTCATTCCTGCTAATTGTTTCCAAACTGGCTGACATGAAACAAGAATATCAGCTCCCATTATCAAATATCAGTAAGTATATTTATTTCCATTATGGAACCATTTAAAGAGTAAATAATCTTGTCTGAGTATGTTTTATCCCAGAAGACTATTAGAGTCCTAGAAAGGTCACCTTCTTTAGAATAAGGGACTTTATTATGTTTTCCAGAGAAAGAAACTTTATGATTATTAGAAGTTAAAAAGGCAATGGAGAATGGAACTAAGTCATTTACAAACACTCTTGATTGAACTTTACATCTGAGTCAAGACTAGAAAATGGAGTCAGCAACACCTATAAAATGAAGAGATACCAGGAATTCTTCTGTGTCACTTCTTCTTGTAGGAGAACATATTTAGCATCATAAATGCAAGCTATGGGCAGATAATCTAAGTCCAAATTCTGGTTCTGATTCTGAGAAGTGAGCTCTTGGTCCAATGACTAAGTCTTTTCCTGCCTTTCCTTTCTCAACAGATATATAAGAATGGGCATAATATCATCAATTTAGGTTTGGTGAGATTGAGCTACAAAGGTTAATATATGTCGATATCTTAAATTAGTAGCTGGCATATGATAAACATTATTAGTGCTTGCTTTTCTTTTTCTTTTTCATAAGCTATTAGATGGAAACCCCTAGGGAGGGGAGATAAATAAAAACAAACAAATAAAAGCAAAGCAAAGAAAAATAATCTGTGATAAAGGGAAATGGTCCAGCTAGGCTAGCAATTTCCCCTTTCACTGTACCCTAACATTCTCACTGGAATATAAATCAACGAGGTAGAGTTTATCCTTTCCTGCATCCTATTAAATTAGGAACAGTATGAGCAAAGCAGACAATAATGGTTCTGTGAATATCACAAGAAGGCAAAATGGGAGTGTGTGAATCTTCTTCCTTAATTACAAATTGGACCCAAGCTTGAATGCATATTTGACACTTTATGAAAACAGGAATGGAGAATATATTTCTTTTCAGATGCCATTTCCAAACCCACTGATAATGGTTGTGTGGAGCACCCTGTCTAGATGGATTCTTGGTTCAAAAGTCTGGGTTCAGTGGGAAAAAGTGTCAAGTTAATAACAATAATTCTGTTTAAAACTATATACTATCTAATTTAAATTTTCTTTTCCTATTGATCAAAGTGGGAGCTTGGTAGCATAGGGCCTAAGGCACTTGACTGCTAACCAGAAGGATGGAGGTTCAAACCCACCGGCCACTCCACAGAAGGAAGGTTGGGCAATCTACTTCCATAGTGATATCACCTCAGAAACCCAAGGAGGGTTCGCTATGAGTTGGGTCTGACTCCACGGCACATAACAACAACAACATTGATCAAAGCAACTCAAATAAAATACAAATTTTGATGATAGTGATAATATTAATAGCTATCTTTTAGTATCATGAATCATCTATCACTTTATTGTACTGTGGTGGCTTGCGTGTTGCTCTGAGGTTGGAAACTATGCCACCAGTATTTCAAATACCAGCAGGATCGCCCATGCTGAACAGACTTCAGTGGAACTTCCAGACAAAGTGGACTGAGAAGAAGGACGGGGTCATCCACTTCTGAAAAAATTGGCCACTGAAAACCTTATGAATAGCAGTGAAACACTGATATAATATTGGGAGAACTTTATGAATTACAATGAAGCATTGTATGATACAGTGTCTGATGACCTCCTCAGGTTGGAAGGCACTAAAAATATGACTGGGGAAGAGCTGCCTTCTCAAAGTAGAATCAACGTTAATGACATGAATCGAGTAAAGCTTTTGGGACCTTCCTTTGCTGATGGCACATGACTCAAAATGGGAAGAAACAGCTGCAAGCATCCATTAATAATCAGATATATTATTAATAATCAGCCAACTATTATATATATAATTATTATATAATAATATTATATAATATATAATAACATAGAACATACAATGTATGAATCTAAGAATATTGGAAGTTGTCAAAAATGAAATGGAATGCAAAAAGATCTATATCCTAGGCATTAGTGAGCTGAAATAACTGGCATCGGCCATTGTGAATCAGATTATAATATAATCTACTACAGCTGCAATGACAAATTGAAGAGGAATGGCATCACATTCATCCTCAAAAAGAACATTTCAAGATCTATACTGAAGCACAATGCTATCAGTGATAGGAACTATAGTGGCATAGTGCATAAGGCATTTGACTGCTAACCAGAAGGCTGGAAGTTCAAACCCACAAGTCACTCCTCAGAAGGAAAATCGGGCAATCTACTTCCATAGTAATACCACCTCAGAAACCCAAGGAGGGCTCTCTATGACTCAGATTGGACTCGACAGCAGTGAGTTTTGTTTTTTTGGTTACATGGAAGTTAATACTATGTTATTCAAATTTACGCACCAACTGCTAAAGCTAATGATGAAGAAATTGATGATTTTACCAACTTCTGCAGTCTGAAATTGACCAAATATGCAATCAACATGTATTGATTATTGCTGGTGATTAGAGTGTGAAAGTATTTAACAAAGAAGAATTATGACCAAAATCTGGCACTGGTGATAGCAATGATGCCACAGATCACATGGTAAAATTTTGTAAGACCAAAGAATTAATTCATTGCAAATCCTATTTTCAACAACATAGACAGTGAAAAATACATGTGAACCTCGCCAGATGGAATGCACAGGCATCAACTCAAACACATCTGTAGAAAGAGATGATGAAGAAGCTCAATAACATCACTCAAAACAAGGCTGGGTGCTGACTGTGGAACAGACCATCAGTTGCTTGTATGCAAGTTCACGTTGAAACTGAAGAAAATTAAAAAGGTTCACAAGAGCAAAAATACGCCTTTGATTTCTATGGTAGTTATGTTTGTGTGTCAACTTGGCTGGGCCTGGTTGAGTGGCTGGAAAGCTTGTGGTAGTTATTCCCCATGATGAGACTGGCAATCAACTCCATGGTGGGATCTACCACAAACAGCTGAGTAGCTGCCTTAGGGAATGTAGTCTGCTTCCTGTATATAAGCAGAAGCCTTGAGGAATGGTCTCTAGCGTATGGCACGCTTGGACCCTGCTTGTAGCCGTGTTGTTATTCAGCAGCCTGCCATGCTATGCTGACCTTGGGACTTACAATGGATTTGAGTTAATGGTCTGCCATGTGGTTTGTAACATCGGGACTGTGCCTTTTTACTTGTCAACCTTGGGCGTGGCAGCCTCAGAAGCTAGCAGTTGTCTGAGTAAAGAAAAGCTTCTAGCTTCAGTGGGCCAGTGGCTGGTGGCAGAGCTGAAGCCCAAGGCAATGCCCAGCCCCTAGAGCCTGGCACTTTGAACTTGTACTTAAAGCCTCCAAATTGTAAGAATAATTGTAAGAATAAACTCTTGTTAGTTAAGGTCATCCCATTTATGGTATATTTCTTGTCAGAGTGGCACTAGGTAACCAGAACAATTTCCCACCTGAATTTAAAGACTATCTGATGAATAGATTTGATCCATTGGATGCTAATGACCAAAAACCAGAGGAGCTGTGAGATGACACCATGAACATCACACCTGAAGAAAACAAAAGGTCTTTAAGAAGACAAGAAAAGAAGAAACGACCAAAGTGGATATCATAAGACATTCTGAACCTTGGTCTAGAAAGGAGTAGCTAAAGTGAATGGAAGAAATAATTAAATAAAAGAGCTAAACAGAAGATTCCAAAGGGCAGCTCAAAAAAACAATGTGAACTGTTATAATGAAATATGCAAAGACTTGGAATGAGAAAAACAAAAGAGAAGAACATACTTGGCAAGTATGTTCAAGAACTGAAGAAAATATTGAGCCTCAAGTTGCAATATTGAAGTACTCTATGGGCACAATATTGAATGATGCAGAAAGCATCAAAAGAAGATGAAAGCGATTTACAGTCACTGTACCAAAAAGAATTGGTCGACGTTTGGCTATTTCAGAATGTTGCATATGATCAAGAACCAATTATATTGAAGGAAGAAGTCCAAGTTGCACTGAAGGAATTGGAAAAAAGTAAGGCTCCAAAAATTGACCAAGTAGGCATTGAGATGTTTCAATAAATAGATACAGCACTGAGGCTCTTTGTGCACAGAAATTTGGAAGACAATTAGCTACTGGCCAACTGACTAGAAGAGATCCATATACGTGCCCATTCTAAAGAAAGGTGAACAGAATGTGGAAATTAGTGAACAATATCATTAATGTCACACACATGTAAAATTATGCTGATGATAATTCAAACATGGGTGTATTAGTATATTGACAGGGAACTTCCAGAAATTCAAACCGGCTTCAGAAGAGGATGTGAAATGAGAGATATCACTTCTGATGTCAGATAAATCTTGGCTAAAAGTAAAGTATACCAGAGGAATGCCTACCTGTATTTCATTGACTATGCAAAAGCATATGACTGAGTGGATCATAAGAAATTATGGATAATATTGAACAGAATGGGAATTCCAGAACACTTAATTGTACTCATGAGGAACTTGTGCATAGACCAAGAGGCTGTTGTTCAAACAAAACAGGGGTATACAGCATGATTTAAAATCAGGAAAAAAGTGCATCAAGGTTGATATCCTTTCACTATACTTTTTCAATCTGCTTGCTGAGTAAATTCTGAGAGGCTGAACTATATTAAGAACATGGCATTAGGATTGGAGGAAGAACTATTAACCTGTGATATGCAGGTTACACAGCCTTGCTTGCTGAAAATAAAGATGACTTGAAGCACTTGATTACACCTTGATATAAAGAAAACAAAAATCCTCACAACTGGACCAATAAGCAATATCATGATAAATGGAAAGGAGATTGATATTATCAGGGATTTCATTTTACTTGGATCCACAATCAACACCCATGGAAGCAGCAATCAAGAAATCAGATGTCATAGTGCACTTGGCAAATCTGCTTCAAAAAACCCCTTCAGAGTCTTAAGAAGCAAAGATGTCACCTTGAAGACTAAAGTATGCCTGACCCAAACCATGATATTTACAGTCACTTTGTATGCATATGAAAGCTGGACAAGGAATAAGGAAGAGTGAAAAGAATTGATGCCTTTAATTGTGGTATTGGCAAAGAATACTGAAAATACCATGTGAGAACAATGAACCAATCTGTCCTGGAAGATATGCAGCCAGAATGCTCTTTGGAAGCAAGAATGGACATACTTCTTCTCACCTACTTTGGTCATGCTGTCAGAAGAAACCAGTCTCTACAGAAGGATATTATGCTTAGTAGAGTGTCAGCAAAAAAAGGGGAAGACCTTCAACAGGATGAATCAATGCAGTAGCTGCAACAATGGCCTCAAGTATAAAGTATAGCAAGGATTGTGGGGATGGTGCAGGACCAGGCAGTATTTCATTTGTTGTACGTAGGGTCACCATGAGTCAGAGCAGACTCAGTGGCACCTGACATCAACAATCATTTAGTGAATGTACTCTTTCCACTGTGTGCTAATTACTATTTATGTGATATATCTTACTCATTCTTCATTATGATGTCTACCTTGGAAAGTTGAATGATTCTGCTTATGGCATGGTCTATTAGCCAAGGCTTCACAGTTTGGCTAATATATACAAACTAATCTATACCAATTCATTCAGAATTTACAGGTAATGAATGTGAAGACTCCCAGCTTGTGGCTCACTTGATGAACTGCAAGGAAGGGAGAAAAGCTGTTTCACCGTTCGTTTGTCTTTCTGGGAACACAGATGTCGATTTGCTTAACCCACAGACTATAAACCAGGTAAGTGGAGAATGGAGTTCATGAATAAAAGTGTTTAAGAGAGAATGGACTTAGATTTAGCCTTCTAGGAAGCCTATAAAGAACTTTAAAATCAGCAAAAATATCCAGGAAAATGGTACTCTTGAGGTCAATATGATTTCAGAGTTGAACTGAGGGACACTATGTAGAAAATTTCCAGCCACCATCATTTGTGAAGACTCTAGGGAGACTGGTTTAGGTTGCTGCTGGGATAGCACATAGAACTATCTTCAAGATTTCTCAGTATTACTGTGTTGTTGTTGTTGTTAAGTGCCCTCGAGTCATTTCTGACTCATAGCGACCCCATGCACAGCAGAACGAAACACTCCCCGATCCCACGCCAGCTCCACAATCCCTGCTATACTTGAGCCCATCTTCGCAGCCACCGTGTCAATCCATCTCGTTGAAGGCCTCCCCCTCTTTCATCAACCCTCCACCCTACCAAGCATGACATCCTTCTCCAGGGAATGGTCCCTTCTGACAACATGACCAAAATAGGTGAGACGAAGTCTGGCCATTCTTGCTTCCAAGGAGCATTCTGGCTGCACTTCCTCCAGGACAGATCTGTTAGTTCTTTTAGCAGTCCATGGTACTTTCAGCATTCTCCGCCAGCACCACAACTCAAAAGCATCAACTCTTCTTCAGTCTTCCTTGTTCATTGTCCAGCTCTCACATACATACAAGGCGATTGGAAATATCATGGCTTGTGTCAGGCGCACCTTAGTCCTCAAGGAGATATCCTTGCTCCTCAGCACTTGAAACAGTTCCTTCGCAGTTGACTTTCCCAATGCTACACATCATCTATTGTCCTGACTGCTGCTTCCATTGGTATCGATTGTAGAACCAAGCAACGTGAATTCTTTGACAAGAGTCCAAGAGTATTACTGTAGATGTTGTAAATCCCATTTATACTCTGATAAATGGTGTGTAAAACTGAGTGTATAGAACTAAACACATTTGGATAATCCTGTGTAATCCACATGAGTTTTGGAAGAACCTTGTAGAAATTTAATTCATATTTTAATACAAATTTGAGAAAGAAAAAAAATTTGTACTATATTTGATATTATGGATTGACATTAGTGTCTCAACTCTACTATATACCTAAATTAGATAGTCACTTGTTAGGTACAACACTCGTGTATACAGTTTTGAAAAACTGTATACACACCTTTATGCATTTGAAAGGAATATGCACATATATTATCTTAAGTTTAAAATAGTTTCTAATGATTTTTCCAACTTCAAAAAATTCATTAATTTGTTAAAATGAAACTGTTGCTTCATTGATTTAAATGTATAAAATAGAATATAAATAACAAGATGTTTTGATACCCATAATCATCAAAAGTTTTATAAAAAAATCTTGACTAAGCTTTTTAAATAAGATTTTAAAATTGTGTATAATTGTTTTTCTCTTAAACTTTCATTTGCATTTTGTATTCTTACACAAGATTTGTATTAATGTAATATATTTTTTATTATTTATTATTTTTATTAACATAATAAACCATACCTTGAATGTCACCTTATCATGTTTCTCGGCTAAAAAAGTATGCAATTTAAATTCAATATTTATTTCCTGTTAATTTTAGCAACTTAAATGATGTACAGATTTTCATAAGTAATTGTTAAATACAAAAGTAATATAATATATGAAATATATATCTTATTGAGATAGATTTTTTTTTAATTTAATATGTATATAGAGTTAAAAAAGGAGCTGTAGTGGCATAATGCCTAAGGAATTTGACTGCTAACCATAAGACTGGCAGTTCAAACCCCTCAGGCACTCCTCGGAAGGAAGATTGGGCAATCTACTTCCATAGAGATACTGCCTTGGAAACCCAAGGAGGGGTTGTTATGAGTCAGATCTGACTCAGTCGCAGTGAGTTTGGTTTTTTTGGTTTTGTAGAGTTAAATTAGTATGTAGGAGCTCTAGTAGCATAATGCCTAAGGCACTTGACTGCTAACCAGAAGGCTGGTAGTTCAAACTCACTGGCCACTCCTCAGAAGGAAGGTTGGACAATCTATTTCCGTAGTGATACTGCCTCGGAAACCCAAGGAGGGGTCTCTATGAGTCGGGTCCGACTCAAAAGCATGTAACAACAACAACATAAAATACCAGCATAAATTCTATGATGTTGGTGTTGAGAAATCTTATTTTATATAAATAAATGGGAATGGAAGAAATTTTGTTATAACAATGTCATGGTATTTTATGAAGTCCTTTTGAGTTATATTCTTCAAATCACCAAATGATCTATCATGAAAAACATATTTCATTATAGTGTATTTTATTTTTGTTGTGTTTTTGAGAATATACACATCAAAGCATACATGAATTCAAAAATTTGTACTTGTATAATACAGTGACATTGATTACATTCTTCAAGTTGCTCAACTATTCTCACTCTCCTTTTCTGAGTTTTCCTCCTCATTAATATAAACTACCTCATAAGATTCCTGTCTAATCTTTCAAGTTGCTGTTGTCAATTTGATCTCATACATAGATCTTAAAAGAGCACAGTGCTCAAGGCAGACATTGTTTACTAGTAAGCCTACTTTATTGTTTGTTTAAAGAAGACTTCTGGAAAATTAGAAACCATACAAAAACAGCAAATAGAAGCTCAAAAGACTAATACTAAAATTCCAGAGATAGATCATATTTTTTGAGGAAAAAAACTCACTGCCCATTTTTTGGGAAAAAAAAACTCAATCTGACTCTTAGCGACTCCTCCTTGGGCTTCCAAGGCAGTATCTCTACAGAAGTAGATTGCCCAATCTTCCTTCTGAGGAGTGACTGTTGGCTTTGAACTGCCAGCCTTCCGGTTAGCACTCAAATGCCTTAGGCACTACACCATGAGACCTCCTAATATTTTGGAAGGGCACAGAAATAATAGTGAATCAATGGAAGACAGAATTAGTGAAATTGGTACTGGATCAGAAAAAAAGACCGAAAAAAGCCTAAGAATTATGTGAGAACCATCAAGAGGAATAATATACATGTGACTGGAATTCCAGAATGGGAAAAAAAAAAAAAAAAAAAAAAAATCATGGAGAAAATTGAGAATTTGTTGGACAAAAACTTCCCTAATATGAAAGGTAAGAAGATACAAATTTAAGAAGTTCAATGAACCCCAAACAGGATAGAACCCAAAGGAAAAGCACCAAAAAGCATATCATAATCAAACTTTCAAAAACCAAAGACAGAAAGAATCTTGAAAGTAGCTAAGGGAAAAATGAAAAGTTATCTACAAAGAGCAACCAATAAGTTCTGATTCCTCAACCAAAACCTTGTGGGCAAGAAGGCAATGGGATGATATGTATAAAACCCTGAAAGGAAAAAAAAATTGCCAACCAAAAATTAAATATCCAGCAAAATTACCTCTCAAATACAATGGCAAAATTAGGATAAACAGAAATTTCTAGATAAACAGAAATTAAGGGAATTAGTGAAAAACAGACTAGCCTTCATGTATTGATTTAGATGAAGGGAAAGACAATGTACCAAAAGCAGGTGACCAGTACAATATCACTAAGGAAAAGGAAAATATGGAGAGGTGCAGAAAAGGTACAGACAACAAAGGTAAATATTATTACATACACAATATTGCATTATTCAAAACTCACTGCCATCAAGTCAATTCGACTCATAGTGACCTTTCTTTGGATTTCTGAGGCAATATCTCTATAGAAGTAGATTGCCCAATCTTCCTTTCAAGGAATGGCGGGTGAATTTGAACCACCAGCCTTCTGGTTAGCAGTCAAATGCCTTAAGCACTACAGATGGATACATAGATAAACAGGCAAGCTGATTAGTTATGGGTAGGCAAACGTTAATATACCTAGGACCATATATAAGTTTGGCAGATATTATTTGTATATATGTATTTGTATGTGCTATAAAAATGTCTACATATATAACAGAGAGAACAGGGGGCAAATTTATGATAACTTCTTAGCCACAACCAAACACCTTGAGGGAGTGAGTTGTTGGGCCTGTGGGCTCAGGATCATGGTCACAGGGGGTATCAAGCTCAATTGGCATAACTTAGTACACAAAAACATTGTTATGTATTCTACATTGGTGAGTAGTGACTGGGAGCTTAAATGCTTATAGTGGCCATATAAGATGCAACCATTGGTCTCTCTTTGTCCAGAGCAAAGAAGAGTGAAAATATTCAAAAATACATGGAAACAATTAGCCCAAGACTAGTGGACCATGGGGAGCTCTGGTAGCATAGTGCCTAAGGCACTTGACTGCTAATCAGAAGGCTGGCTGTTCAAACCCACTCCTCGGAAGGAAGACAGGGCAATCTGCTTCCGTAGTGATACTGCCTCGGAAACCCAAGGAGAGGTCGCTATGAGTCAGGTCCAACTCAACGGCACATAACAACAACAACAGTAGACCATGGAAACCCCAGCCTACACAACCAGAAGAACTAGATGGTCCCCAGCTACCACAGCCAACCACTCTGAAAATGATCAAAATTGGAGGTATTTAATAGAATGGAGGAAAAATGTGGAAGAAAACTCAAAATCATAAAAAAAAAAAAAAAAAAGAGCAGCCTTACTAGTCAGATAAAGACTGGTAAAACTCCTGAGACTACACTCTTCAGGCTTAAACTCACTCCCCTGGCTTAACCTTCAGCCAAACAATAGACAGGACTACATGGTGAACAGTTACACCGGAGAGGTGCACTCCTTAGAACAATCAACCATGGGAGATCAGAAGGGTAGCATTTGCACAGGGAGAAACACAGAAGGCAGGAATGCATAGGAAAGAAGGAAACAAGGAAAAGGTAACCAGAGGGAGGATGTGGGAAAATATGTATGATTCTTGAATGGAAAACTGATTTGCTCTGTAAACCTTTTTCCAAATCTGGGGATATTTTTGATTAAAAATTTAAGGTTTAACTATTATCTCAGGGCAGTAGATTCAGGGATTTATCCAAGCTCCAAGGCTCCATAAAGTTTAGAGTCCATAAAAATTTGAACACTTATTTTGTGTTTTCCTCTTTTGATCAGGATTCTTCTGTATAATCTTTGGCCAAAATGTTCAGTAATGGTAGCCTAGCACCTGTTTCCTCCTCCCACTCCTGCCTCTCTTTGTTGATGTAGGTTAATAGAAAGAAATTGTTGTAACTTGGATGGTTGTGTGCAAACTTTTAAGACCCTAGGCACCGTGTTGTTAATGATATCCTCATTAACAGTTTGATGAGACTCACCTTCCATTTTGTTGACATCAGTAATTGCAAATTATCTAACTTTTTTTTTTTAATTCTTTATTTTTTACCGTGTATGTTCTCAAATCCCAGGTTAAATATACCATATTGAGTTGGAAAATTGTTACTTGTTTTGTAAAGTGAAAGAAAAGGATTCATTAAGGAAGACATGAGAAAAGAGACCCTGTAAGACATTTCAACTTGGGTAATTTCCCAAGGAGATCAGTTTTAGAAAAGTTGAAGTTGACAATGTAGGAATTACTTCCTAACAGTTATCTATGCCTTCATTTCCTTGGGAAATCTCCATAAATCCCCAGAGATATATGTACCTTGATATAAAGCACACTAAGTACTTTGTAGCATAGTGCCTAAGACACCTGACTGCTAACCAGAAGACTGGTGGTTCAAAACCACTAGCCACTCCTTGGAAGGAAGGTTGGGCAATCTACTTCCATAGTGATACTGCCTCAGAAACCCAAGGAGGGGTCACTATGAGTCGGGTCCAACTTGACGGCACATAACAAAAACAGTATGTTCTCTTCCTATTTCAATCCCTTGGACCCTTCTCTTTTCCCAATGTACCCACTAAACTAAATTTTGTATTTTTCATTCTCCTCTTCTAGAAAGGTTTATAGCATAATTACATATTCCCAAAGCAGTTTGTTCTTGCTTGCTTTTCAATTTTTCAAAACAAAAAGAAGAAATACTTAATGTAGTCTTCTGGATGTTACCTTTTTGCACCCAACATATGCTCCGACAATTCATCCATGTTGTTACATGAAGCTCTATTTTATTTTCATTCCTTCATAATATTTCATAGGGTGAATATAAAGCAATTGGTTCATCTATTCTGCTGTCAAGAGCATTTTTTTTTTTATGTCTAGTCTTTATTATTATAAACAGGGTTGCTATAAACTACAGGTACACATATGCAAAAGTTTCTCTTGGATATAAGTCTAGAAAAGAATTTTCTGTGTCATGAGAATAAGAATATTCATCATTCCCTAGCCTCTCTTCTGCCAAATCAATTTAGAAAGAAGTTGTATCAATTTGTACTCTCACTAGCTACGTACCAGAGTTCCTGACCCTATCAAGTATAGTTTGCAAAATATAAGGAGACATGAAAAAGCTTTGCTTTGCTTTTTATTTTCCTTCTTTTCTTTTCTTCTCTTTCTCCCTCCCATGTTTCCTTCTCCTTCTCATCTTTCTTTTTGGTAATTAGATTTAAATATTGTTAGAGTCTTTCATTTTAATTCTTCTCTTGTGGACATACAGGCTGAACCAATTTGGATACTGTTACAATTTAGGTTAGCTTTTCCTTGTTGGGAGCTCTGGTGGCATAGTGCCTAAGGCATTTGACTGCTAACCAGAAGGCTGGCTGTTCAAAACCACTAGCCACTCCTTAGAAGGAAGACTGTGCAATCTGCTTCCATACAGATACCACCTCAGAAACCCAAGGAGGGGTCGCTGTGGGTTGAATAGACTTGACAGCAGTGAGTGTGATTTGGATGTTTTGGTTTCCTTGTTAGTGAATCTTGCTGAGAATATAGAGAGTGCACTGTTGAAATTTCCATTGATATGCTGAGGAAACAATAATTTTATAGGTGGAGCTAATCCATTCTGTAGGCTTACTCAAATTGGCACCACCATGTGTTTGTTTAAAAAAAAAAAAAAAAAAAAAACCTTTCTAATTGTGCGCCCATAAGTAGTTAGTTGTCCTTGTCTCCCTCTTTTATTCTTTTTTTTTTTTTTTTCAATTTTTATTGTGATTTGGATGAAATATTATGGAGCAGATTCATCTTACATTCAACAATTCCTATACATTTTGTTTTGTGACACTGGTTATATTCCCCACAGTGTAACAGCTCTCCTCCCACTTCCTCCTGTAGTTACCTTTCCCCTGTGAACTTCTTGTCTGTCCATTCCTGTCTCCCTGCCTTTCTCCCTGTGCAAATGCTGCCCTTCTGATCACCCCTGGTTGATTGTTTTAAGGAGTGCATCTTGTGGTATAAATGTTCAGCTCCTACACCTGTCTATTGTTTGAGAGTTAAGCCACGGGAGTGAATTCAACCTCAGACCTGTAGGGTGACTCAGGGCCATAATCTCTCGGTGGTTTCACCAGTCTCTTTCAGACAGATGAGCCTTGTCTTTTTGTGATTTTGAGTTTCATTTCATGTTTTTCTCCCACTTAATCCAGGATCTCCAATTTTGATCCCTTTCCAGCTGTTGGTAGCTGGGCTCCATCTAGTTCTTCTGTTCTCAGGACTGTTCTGTCTTTTGAAGGATGTGCTTTAAGCATATTGAATAAAGGAAGTAACTAAAAAGATAGTTTAAGGAATCATAAAATGTCTTTATAAATAAATAACACATTAAGAGAAAATGTGTTTCTTCAGGTCCTTCTGCACACAATTGGTATCAATGGCAATCAAGCTCCTGTGTTGTGGTCACAAAAATATGATAACAAAGGAAGAAGAATGCCACTTAATGCTTATGCACTTGATTTCTATAAGCATGGTTCCTTGAAAGGATTAGTCCAGGACAACAGGTATGTTTTATCTACCTATCTATCTGTCTGTCTATCTATCTATCTATATCCATAGAATGAATGGCTTTAAAGAATTTTAGTACAAAATTCTTTTTTTTTTTCTTCAATATCATGTATAGGTTAATCATGCTAAATATACTGGATCATTTTCTTCAGACTAATGGCAATAGTGAATAACAAATTCTGTTATTTTTGTTTGTGGTTTACCAGGAAAATCTTGGCCCTTAGGCCAGCCCACTTAACAAAAAGGTATTCTAAATATATAAATGTTTACACATACTCAGAGATATTTCTGTTTTTTCTTATTCTACTTATTCATTATCAGAATTTAAAATTTTTTGAATAACAAATAATGCCGTACTCTCCATTATCTGGGGAGCTCTGGTAGCATAGTGCCTAAGGCACTTGACTGCTAACCAGAAGGCTGGCGGTTCAAACCCACGAGCCACTCCTTGGAAGGAAGTTTGGGCAGTCTGCTTCTGTAGTGACAGCGTCTTAGAAACCCAAGGAGGGGTTGCTATGAGTTGGGTCCAACTCCACAGCAAACAACAACAAGAACAACAACATCCATTATCTTAGAGGAGTGTAGAAATTCTTCAATGTTTATATATCATTAATTTTTAAAATGTTGTTTTGTTTAGGATACATGAAGGTGAAGCTTATGAGTTACTGAAAGATTTTGCACTGACAATTCAAACAATCAGGTGTGTTATATATTTTAAATATTGATTTCAGATTTTCCTAATAATTTAATGATAATTTAAAAAGTGTTGAGCTATTACTATGAGTCAGATAATTGAAGGCGCCATTTAGCCTCCTGGGTGCTATGCATTTCAACTCTCTGGGGCTGTGCAGGACTTCTCCTTAATACCCTGATGCATCATTTCTGTAGAATTAATGCCAAAGTTCATTTGAAATAATGCTCCATCAGAATATTAGTCCCAGTCTTCACATACCAACAGGCAATAATGTTCCTAATCCTCATTGATCCCTAGACACAATCATTGTGTGTCAGATACGTGATATTTCAGAGAGCTCATTAGGGGTCCATTAGGTCTGATTTACATCCACTCACATATTCTTGAATCTCTGACTTTCACCACTGTTTTTTTGTTTTTGTTTTGTTTTTCCATTTCTTACCCAATCCTGATCTCTCATATTGGCTTCTTGTCTTCATCTTTAATAGATCCCAGTGGGAACCCAGGCAATTCTGATCTCCATGTTGATTCCCTCATTTCTCGGTGCAATTTATCACTGAATGTTGCCTAATTAAATGTCCATCTTCCTAAAGCCTCCAGTCCTATTATACTTTTTAACTTCATGGGTTTCTCTTTGTTCTTACCTAACAACATATATATAATAAATATCTATAATTTGTCATGAATCCCTTCTTTATAGGGTTGTTGCTAATGAGGTCATGGTTCTTTATTTTTGTGGTCTGAGCTAAATTGGGGCTTTTGGACTTTTGTTAACAGAGGATCAACTTTTGGATCTTAGAGCAAAAGTGATTTGCTTTACCACCTGGCCATTTCTAGTTAGAGTATTTCTTTGTTTTAATAAATAATATTTTATAGGTTCCCATTGGACAGTTTCTGCACAAATTGTTCCCTGACATTAGTTACATTTTTCACAATGTGTCAACATTCTCTTTAATTGTGTTCTTTTTAGTTCCTTTCTAATAGTCTCGTTTCCCTGCTCCCTTATCTTCTCATCTTTACTTTTGAATAATTGTTAAGCTTTTGGTCTCATACTGATGGTTTTTAAGTAGAGCACTGATCTTACGAGCAATGTCCTTTATTCATGTGCCCCACTGCTATTTTGCTTAAAGGTGATCTCAGAGGATAGGCTCAGTTCTAGGTTTAAAGAGTGTCTCAGGGTAGTAGTAGTCTCTTGAGATTATTCCTGTTTGTCTGGCTTTTTTTTTTTTTTTCTCAATTTGAGTTCTGCACCACATTTTTCATTCCAAGACCATCTATTTTTACCATCAGAACAGTCAGTGGTAGCTGGGCAACATCTAGAATTTCTGGTCTCAGGATATATGAGGTTATGGCTCATGTAGGTTCGTTTCTTTTCTGAGCCTTTAATTACCTTCTGCTGCTGGTGAGTAGAGACCATTAGTTGTCACTTAGGTGGCCATTCATAAGCTTTTGAAACTCTAGACACTGCTCACCTAACTAGGATGCTGATCATGAATTTTGTGAATTATGTTATGCCAATTGACTGAATTGTCCCATGAGACTATAGTGCTAAACTTTCAAACCCAGGATTGTGTCTCCAATGAACATAGGTGCCAACACTAACATATTTAGATTTACATGTACCTATCGATACTTCGGGAGCTCTGGTAGCATAGTGGCTAAAGCACTTGACTGCTAACCAGAAGGCTGGCGGTTCAAACCCACCAGCCACTCCTCGGAAGGAAGGTTGGGCAATCCTACTTCCGTAGTGATACTGCCTCGGAAACCCAAGGAGGGGTCGCTATGAGTCGGGGCCGACTCGACGGCACATAACAACAACAACAACAACAACATCGATACTTCAGAAGGATCTCTACTGGCACAATGGTTGAAGCATCTGGCTGCTAACCAAAAGGTCAATGTTTTGAACCCATTAGCCACTCTATGAGAAAAAGTTGAGGCAGTCTGCTTCCATAAAGATTTACAACTGTGGAAACCCTTTGGGGGCAGTTCTACATTGTCCTATAGGGTCACTATGAGTCAGAATCAATTCAATGGGAGTGGAGTTTTTTAGTATAGATATTTTTCCCTGTACCCATCCATATGTGCTCATATACTTTAGATTGGTTATGCTGTGCTCACTGCATCCACATTCTGTGCAACTTTTCCCATCACCAAAAATAACAAGTGTCTATGATACAATGTGTATTTTCCCCTCCACCCCCTCTCCTCCCTGATAACCATCAATGAACAGTATCCTCCCTATATTTATCAATTCTTATCTTTTTATAAAAGTGGAATCACATAGTATTTGTCTTTATATGCTTGACTTATTTCATTTAACATTATGTTCTCCAGGCTCATCCATGTTACATGTTTCATCATCATTGTTCTTTATGATTGTGTAATATTCCAGTGTATGCATGTAACAATGTTTGCTTATCCATTCATCCATTGACAAACACTTCAGTTTTTTCCATTAAAAGGATCACTGAACATAGGTGTGCATATGTCTGTCTGTATCATTATTTTTAGATCTCTACACTGTGTACAGGAGCTCTGGTGGTGTAGTCACCACCAAAGCCTAAGGCATTTGACTGCTAACCAGAAGGCTAGAGGTTCAAACCGACCAGACCCTCCTCAGAAAGAAGGTTGGGCAATCTACTTCCATAGTGATACCCCCTCAGAAACCCAAGAAGGGGTCGTTATGAGTTGGGTCTGACACAATGGCAGTGGGACACTGTATGCTCACCACTTCTCTGTCAGTTTATCTTACTGTTTTGGCTTATGTGTTGCTGAGATGCTGGAAGCTATTCCACTGGTATTACAAATACCAGCGGAGTCATCTATGGTGTACAAGTTTCAGTGGTGCTTTCAGACTAAGACACACTGGGAAGGAGGACCTGGTGATCTACTTCTGGAAAAATTGTCCAGTGAAAAACTTATGAATAGCAGTGGAACATTTCTGATAGTGCCAAAAGATAAGCCTCTCAAGCTGGAAGGCACTGAAAGTACAACTGGGAATGAGCTGCCTCCTCAAAGTAGTGTCAACCTTAATGAAGTAGATAGCATAAAGCTTTTGGGACCTTTATTTGCTGCTGTGGCACAACTCAAAATAAGAAGAAATAGCTGCAAACATCCATTAATAATCATAATGCAGAATGTAAAAGGTATGAATCTAGGAAAATTGGAAATCATCATAAATGAAATGAGATTCCAGCCCCAAGAGGGCAGAGTTGACAAATATACTGTCCAGACCCTCTATAATAAAACACTTGAAAAAACAAGGAAAACAGCTATGGTGACAATCCTAGATGCCAGAGTTTTGAAGGAAAGGATAAAGAAGTAGATAAAATACCTAAGAGAGGAAGAGATTGAACAAAAACAGTGACTGAGGAGTGGTAAACTGCTAACTGGTGCAGTGCAGCCATTTTGAATTATTGCAAGTAGCATTCTGATTAGAGCAAGAACCAGAAAACTAGCTCCACTTGCCCAGAACAGCACCAGAATGCACATCAGTGGTCAGGCAACCAGAGAGGTGTATCCTCCCTGCTTACCTTGCAGAACCTCCTAGTTACCAGAAATATGGCTCTTCCCACCTGTCATCCACTCCCCCAGTGTTGGGCCACTTTTCTTTCATTTTTAAAAAATATTTCTGCTTAGTTCTTCCATCCTTCCATCTTCCCTGAAAGCAAGAGCACCTTCCCTGCTGTCTACAAGGTTATTTGGCTCCTATCCCCACTGCTCCCTGATGAGACGTGCCCACTCTGGCACAGACTTATTTGGTGGTTGGCACTTTTCCAGTGATTTTTTTTTTTTTTCTTTCTTCACTTTTTCTTCTTTTATCCTTCTCCCTATTTCTTCCCTTGCCTCCTCTTTGTTTTCCTTTTCTTTCTTCCTTGTCACCTTTAAAAAAAAAAAAAAATCTTCATTTTTTCTTGTTGATCCTGCCCCTATATCTGGTCAGTAGTTAGAGGCACCTGCCCCCACCCTTTCATGGGTGATAGTATGAGCTCTCCCAGAGTGTGCTCTGCATTCTTGCTGCAAGGGTACTTGGAAGTTAATGCTTACACCAGTGTTTTCTTTTCATTTTTTTTTCCCTCTCTCTCTCCTCTTTTTTCTTTTTCTTTCTTCCCTTATCTCAGTTCTTCCATCCTCCCCCTTGCTTT